GTAGCCGTTGTAGTCTTACGCTCAATATGCTTATTCATGTGATTAGTATTTGTAGTGTTCGTATTATTGACAGAATACTTGTAGTAGTAGTTGTCTTATGTTGATCAGTGTTGTGCCTAGCATTATGATTATTACGCTTATTACTATTCGGATTCGTACTACTCTGATTCGTATGATTGTTCGCTTTCTTCTAATTACAATGACTACTCTTTGCAATCATTTCATGAATACGATTATTATAAATACGATTAGTATCGCTATTGTGTTGATTAGTATTCCTTCTCCTCCTCCTCCTCCTCCTCCTCCATCATCTTCCTCCTCCTCCTCCTCCTCCTCCTCCTCCTCCTCCTCTCCCTGCTCCTCCTCATCTTCCTCCTCCTCGTCCTCCTCCTGCTCTTCCTCCTCCTGCTTTTCCTCCTCCACCTCTTCCTCCTTGTCCTCCTCCACCTCTTCCTCCTGGTCCTCCTCCTCCTCCTCCTCCGCCTCCTCCTCATACACGTCCTCCTCCGCCTCCGCCTCCGCCTCTGCCTCCTACGCCTCCTCCTGCGCCTCCTCCTCCTCCTGCTCCTCCTCCTCTTCCTCATTCCCCTCCTCCTCCTCATCCTATTCTTCCTGCTCCTCCTCCTCATCGTCATCCTCCTCCTCCTTCTGCTCTTCCTCCTCGTCCTTCTCTTCCTCCTCCTTCTCCTAGCTTCTCCCTGCCGCACCCCTCGGCCAGTTTTTAGGGCGGACCGGGCATTCCGCCTGAGACTTCCTCACCATTTCTGACACTGAACCTTTAAAATGGTAACAGTTTCACAGATGGAGGGAGGGTGGTTTTCAAAATGTGGTTCTCGCCTTGGCGCCACGCACATTCGTTATAAGAAGTTGCAAGAGTTTCACGGATTGAGGGCGGGTGGTTTTCAAAATGTGGCTCTCGCCTTAGCGCCGCGCACATTCGTATCAAACATTTGCAAAAGTTTCACGGATGGAGGGCGGGTGCTTTTCAAAATGTGGCTCTCGTCTTTGCGCCGCGCACTTTCGTTTTACAAAAGTGCAAGAGCTTCACGGATTGAGGGCGGGTGGTGTTCAAAATGTGGCTCTCGCCTTAGCGCCGCGCACATTCGTTACAAGAATTTGCAAGAGGCTCGCGGATTGAGTGCGGTTCCTTTGCAGTTTGTGGCTATCGCCTTGGCGCCGCGCACATTCGTTTCAAAAAGTTACACAAGTTCCACGGGCTCCCATGATCAACGTACCAGAAATGGTGTTTTGGAAGGATTCAGGATTACGCGGGTGCAACAGTTATGTTGAATCGCGGCGTTGAAGTTCCATTCACGGCGTTCTGCCACAATTCCAAATCGTCAGGACGCAGCAGTCCGGTTGATCCTTGGTGTGGAAGTCCCTAGAACAATGTTTTAGCATGCTTCAAGGTCTTCGAACGGTTGGCTTTAAACGAGGCAGTTCCCTCAATGGAAATGAAAGATTGTATAGGGCCTACGAAGAGGGAGCTTGGAGGGAGGGTTAATTCCAACATCGTTGATGACTTTTGTGTTTACACCAGTCCTCCTCCTCCTCCTCCGCCGCCTCCGCCTCCTCCTCCGCCTCCGCCTCCGCCTCCGCCTCCCTCAACCTCCTCCTCCTCCTCCTCATCCTCCTACTCCTCCTCCTCCGCCTTCCCCTACTCTTCCTCCCCCGTATCCCCCTCGTTCCTCTCTGATTCCTCCTCGTCCTCCTCGCCCTCCTCGTCCTCGCCATCCTCACGAGTTCATCTTAACCACTATTATCATCACATTCAAACTCATACTTCTTGTACTCCTCCTGCACCTCTTCATGCTACTACTCCATCCCCTCCTCTCCCTCCTCGGGCAGGAGGGCGCAGGGGCAGGAGGGATTCAGCTGGCGCCTACATCGGCTGATCAACCCTTGGGCTTGCATGTGGATCTTGATTTCCCCAAAAGTGCTTGCACCTAAGGGTTCATATTTATCTCACTCGAGAATTAGATGGGTCTGGTAAAGATTATCCACGTTGCAGCCCGTGGCCGCCTCGTGGCCGCCTCGTGCGCACGGTTGGTCCAGCGAACTTTCGCCGTGTTGCCGCCCGCGGCCTCCTCTGGGTGCGTCCCGCGAGATTTCGCCACATTGCCGCCCGTGGCCGCCTCGTGGCCGCCTCGTGCGCTGGGTGCGTCCCGCGAGGTTTCGCCACATTGCCGCCCGTGGCCGCCTCCTGGCCGCCTAGTGCGCTGGGTGGGTGGTCCAGCGAGGTTTCGCCACGTTGCCGCCCATGGCCGCCTCGTGGCCGCCTCGTGTGCTGGGTGCGTCCAGCGAGGTTCCGCCACGTTGCCGACCGTAGCTGCCTCGTGACCGCCTGGTGCGCTGGGTGGATCCGGCGAGGTTTCGCCACGTTGCCGCCCGTAGCTCCATCGAAGTTTCGCTACGTTGCCGCCCGTGGCCGCCTCGCGTGCACATCTTGGGTACACTACATAGGTCACGCCAAGAAGATTGCACCACAACACAGCTCATACAACCTAGATTGTATTACCTAGCTTACACCGCTTAGCTCAATAGCTCAAATATCACGATGCCACATTGATTGCACCACATAGCTTACACCACATAGCTCGCACCTGGTATATTGCACTAGAAATGTATAGTGCAGAACATAGATTGCACCACGTAGCTCGTACCACCTAATTTGAACCACATAGCTTTGACCGCATAGCTCACACAGGATTGCACAAAATAGCTTTCGCCACATAGCTTGTATCACATAGATTGCACCGCATAGCGCACACCACATAGATTGCACCATATAGATTGCGTCACACAGCATACAGTGGACAGCTCACACCACATGTGCAACATATAACTGTTTGGGATCCACGATGGCAAACATTGTGTTGTTGCTGCTGTACCTTCCATTTGGCCGCGAGTCTCTCGACAGCTCGCCGACAATAGGGTTTTGCGCTGAGACGTCTAGAGCTGTAAGCCCGAGCCGGCCACCGCTGTGCGTTCGCGCTTGCGCAAGAACTTTGAATCGTGATCGCCACTGTGTCATGCAGAAAAACGTGGCAAGACGTTTTGTTTTGGTGTGTATCCAAGGCATTGAAGCCCCGGTCCCCGACTGGCAGGATGGAGAGCGTTTCTTGATTTTCGGCGATGACGGGCGTTATAGGGGGGGAAAGGGGGGCGGGGGGGGGTATGACGTAACGCTCCCCCCCCCCGCCGTGTGGCTCCCGCACCACAGCCGCGCCCGCGCCCATGACGACGATGAGCGACGAGCGACGACCGACGAGCGACGACGACGACGACGACGACGAAGACGACGACGACGACGACGCGAGCAGCATGTAGGTGGCGAACTGCCGCACGGCGCCGGTGCACACCACAATGCTCGCGTGCACCACAGCGCGCGTGTACACCACAGCGTCTTCGTACACCGCAACAGCCGTGTGCAACACAGCGCCTGTGTACACCAGTGCTTGCGTCAGCGCCGGTGTACACCACAGCGAATGCGTACACCGAAGCAACCATGTGCAACACAGCGATTATGTACACCACAATGCCTGCGTGCACCGCAGCGCGTGTGCACACCACAGCGCCTGTCTATACCACAGCATCCGCGTGCAACGCAGCGCTGGTGTACACCACAGCGCCTGCGTGCACAGGATAGGTAGACGGAGCATGTAGATGAGGACCTGCTGCGGACAGCTAAACGCCACGCCAGGGAAGTGTTGATAATAGAATGCGAAGTGATTCCCTCCTCCTTTTCCTCCCCTTTCCTCCCTTTTCGTCCTCCTCCTCCTCCTCCTCTTCCTCCTCCTCCTCCTCTTCCTCCTCTTCCTCCTCCTTCTCCTCCTCCTCCTCTTCCTCCTGCTCCTCCTCCTCCTCTTCCTCCTCCTCACGTCACTTTAATGTGGCATCTCCACTGGGGGGCAGGCTGTAACGCTGGCGTGCTTCTTGCGCAGACGCATGGTAGGGAGACGGCAGGGCCGTGCTAAGACGCACTGTAAGCCCCCTCATAGTACGATAGCGTTCTTTTCATGCCAATGTCCTGCCGATTTCCTCCTCCTCCTCCTCCTCCTCCTCCTCCTCCTCCTCCTCCTCCTCCTCCTCCTCCTCCTCCTCCTCCTCCTCCTCCTCCTCCTCCTCCTCTTCCTCTCCTCACCCTTTCCCCCTATCGTGCGGGTCGGCGCTACAGCGCACATGCGCATCTCAGCGTGCACCACAAAATGGTCGATTGAATCAGTCCACTTGGTTCTCGGACGCCAGATTTTGCTGGAGCCTCCTGGACGCAGATGGGAGGCGTTAGGATGATGCGGGCGGACTCGGGAGCAGTCTTAGATTCCAGCGGCGTCCCTTTTTCCATTCCGATCCAAATCCCATATATGCGATAGTGGTGCTTTGTTGCACACGGTTGCTGTGGTGCACACAAGCACCGTGGTGCACACAGGCACTGTAGTGCACGCAGGCATTGTGGTGTACACTGGTGCTGTGTTGCACACGGCTGATGTGGTGTAATGTGGTGTGTGCAAGCGTTGTGGTGTACATTGGCGTTGCGGTGCCCGCAGGCACTGTGGCACCCACTGGCGCTGTGTTGCACGCGGCTGCTGTGGTGTACATAGGCGGTGTGGTGTACATAGGCGCTGTGACACAGGCGCTGTGGTGCGGATCGCCACCTACATGCTTCTGCCACCCGTCCTCGGTCATTCCTGAGCAGTCCCAGACGCCGCCGGCGCGAAACGTAACGTCGTCGGCCCCCTCCAACCCCACCCCACCCAAATGATTGCCGTCCTCAACCCGGAACAAGAAAGGCTCCAGCCGCGTCCGCGCGCACTGCGACGATGAGCGATGAGCGACGAGCGACGACGACGACGACGACGACGGCGACGACGACGACGAAACCGACGACGACGACGACGACGACGACGACGACGACGACGACGACGACGACGACGACGACTGCGGACCAAACTCCTATGCGGAGTCCTATGCGAACACCTATGCGGATCCCGATGCGCACGGCGGTAGTGCCCGGAGCGCACTGGGGGGGGGGAGCGTTACGTCATAGGGGGGGGGGCGGGGGCCATGACGCCCGTCATGCCGCATGCCCCAAGCAATCAAGAAACACTCTCATGGCAGCGCGACAGTGCTTTTGAAAAACAACGCTGTGGACAAATCCCTGTAGAACCACTGAACGGCGCCCCCCGCAGCGATACACGGGGCGCACCAAAGTATACACCAACTGTTGTTCGAAGGTTTTCAAACGGAACCGCGTTCACACAGGGCCCTACAACCGCTCGGCCTGCGGAGAAGCTCGGAGGCACCATCCTGCTGTACATGGCAGCCCCCCGACCTGGCGCATAACATGCCGCAATGCCGCCCCCTACTCGCCGTCAGCGTCCGCGCCCTCGCCGTCGCTGCTCTGCCCGCTATTGGGCTCTGCAGAGGCTTGCGCTGCGACCGTCCCTAGGAACTTCTCGTGGCGGCAAAGAGGGCAGAAGGGCTGGCCGCGCATGACCTTCGCCCAATGATGCCAACAATCTTTACACACCTTGTGGCAGCACCCTAGCGTCTCTGGCCCCTTCACACCTTCGCCGAATGCTTCCAGACACACGGGGCACTCGACCTGGTGGTTTGCGGCGAGGAACTTCAGCTTCTTCGCCATGCCGTCGAGAATCGACGCCATCTTCAGGTTGTTCTGCACCGCCTGGCGCATCATGTGGTAGACGAACCACTCACGAGTCTCGTCGGGTATGCGCATGGCGTCCTCGCTGTCGATGCCCCTGACCAGGTGGTCCATATCCGTCACGATGGCAGGCGGAAGCGTCGGCTTGTTCTCCTCGTAGAAATGCAAGAGCGTACTGCGCATGCCCTCCACTTCCTCTCCATAACCTTCGTAAAGCAAGAACTTAGCGGCGCACTCCTTAGCGTCTGCGGGCTCGACGCTGAGCTGCTGCAGCAGAACTTGCACGTCGGTTGCAGCAGATTCCTCCCGTGCTCCGCCTACTACAGCAGGGCAGGGCGAGTTGGGCTGAGGTGCGCTGGACGCGGGCAACGGGGCCAAAGCCAGACCCGCCTCGCCCGTGGCGGCCATCGCATTTGCGTCCGAGGCACCCACCAGGCCCGCGGCCTCAGCCATCGCGTCCTCCTCGGAGTCGGAAGCGGCACGGAGCACGCAGGCCGCGGAGCCGGCGGAGCCCGACGAGGAGGCGCTGCGGCTGCGGGACCGCGGCGTGCGAGGGCGAGGGTCTTTCCCCAGCTGCTTGCACTTCTTCATCTGCCGGGCCCTCGACACCTCCCCGCACGCGATCCCATGGACGATGCGCCCCGCTCGACGCACTCGCGACGAGCAACGGCGGAGCTTACCAGCACAGCCATGGGATCCCGGACGGAGAATCCTGACCGCGACGACGACGCGTCGTGGATACGGCAGGCTCTTACCTTGACGACGTGAGCCCTGTTTTCTGGCACCGCGTTAACCGTTCAGTCTCTAACGACCTCCGCTGTCGGTCCCAACCTGCCGAGCGCCACGTTCGTTTAGAATCGATCCCGGGACCAATCCCATGCGCCATTCTGACCAACTTTTCGAGCCGCGTCCAGCCGCGGCCACGAGGCGGGACCCCCGCAGCCCCAGAACAGGCGAAAATCATCAGCTCGAGGACTTCGCCGCCGCGTCGAGGGGGCGAGAACCTGTCACAGATATGGAAAATCAAAGTTGCAGCGGCGAGAACATGAATTTTCGGAGGTCCGCACAAATCTTTTGGGTCGACGCTGGACCCCCCTTCCGGTGCGCGCCGGGGGCGGCGCTGGAGGCTCCGCCATTGGGATCCAGCACCAACATAAGGAACGCAGGCGAACCTCCCAGAGCTTATGCCCACGCTGCGCTTGCCTTCTCTTAGACCACGCACCGCAGATACGGATGCGCACTTTCGTCTCTCACGAGCCTGCTGCGCGGACCTCCAGCGCTCCTGCACGCCAGCGAACTCCTCGGGCGCCTCGGCCTCGGCCATCTGCCGCAGGCCCTCCGCGGCCAGGGCGCGGCTGCGCACCGCGAGGCCCCGGACGGCCTTGCACTTCCGGGCGCAGGCCTCTCGGGCGGGTGGCGACGGGGGGCGACGTCAATGGTAGGGCGACGAGATCTATGCATATCCACTGCTCCTGGCCAGGCCAATCCTGGGCCCAGGAGCGGTGTATACGCCCTCCTGGCCTGGACAGGGGGGCATATGCACAGCTCCTGGGCCCAGGATGGGCCTGGCCAGGAGCAGTGGACATGCATAGATCTCGTCGCCCTAAATGGGAGGGTCAGATGTTGCAAGGTTGCAGGCTGAGTTTCGAGGAAGCTTCCCCATCTAGACTAGGCAAGTGTTCGTGCTTCCGGAGCTCTGCGAGGGTCTCGGCGGTAATCTGCTTGACGGTTTGCCGCCGGCTCCCAGTCATCCCCAAAACAAATCAGAGAGTACGAATAGGTTTTCGGGCCCGCTTTGGGCACCCGCTGGCTCCAGGGGGGGGAAGGAGGCCCTCGAAGGCCCTGTCGCCCCCAAATTTAGGCCACCCCCCCATTACCACCCGCCCGAGCCTCGCGCTGCCGAGCGGTCTCCGCGAGCGCCCTCGCGGCCTCCACCTCCTCGGGGGCCCGACTGCTCTGCGCCTGCAGGATCCTCTGCACCCACGCCTGGCAGGCAAGGGGATGCCAGCAGGGGGAAAGGCTTCGCAGATTGAGGCTGCTGCTCAGAAGGCGCGGGCCGCACATCTATAGGCAAGGCCCACGCGTTGTAAGAAGCAGGGGTGCGTCTAAGAAGCCTTCCCCCCTCCCCCATCCCCCTCTGCGCGTGGCTGAGATAGAGGCCTCCAAGATGGAGTCTGAGTAGATGGAGTCGGAAGATCGCGCCGCATCGCAAGTAGACGTCGGCGATGTATCGGCGCCGTCGGCGTGGAGATACTCGAGCTCCACATCGAGCTGTTTCGACGATGCATCGCCGATTTGGCGCAGCCCGCCGACCCCATCCACTCCGACCCCGTCTAGGAAGCCCAGAAGCGGACTGTCCACGTACGTACACCGATCCTGGACCAGCGTACCCTGGACCCAGGATGGGCCTGGGGAAGATCGGGGCTGTGTGCATGGCTCTCGTCGCCCCGAGCACCTGGCGCTGGCTGGGGGCCTTCTGCATCGCCCAGCGGTGGCTCTGGCTGGTGCCACGGCCGGCCAGCCAGCCACGAGAAGGGAGCAGGGGGGGGGCCAGGAACAGCCAGACGCCAGACAGACTCTCCTCGGCCACCGGCACCCAAATCGTCAAGAAACAGAGGAGCGACGGCCAGGAAGTGACCTTACGCGCGAGGACGCAGCCGACTTGCGCGATGGCTCGAGCAGGACGCCAACATGGCACAGAACGCAGTGTGCAAGGAGCGCTCGCGCGCGAATGTCCGCGCAGAGGACCCCGTTTTCCCACGTCGTTCAACTCGACTTGGCTGTTTGGGGCCGCCTGGGCGTGCCTGCCCCGCCGCCCCCCCCCCCTGCCCTCAGACTGGCCGACCGACGGACGGACGGCCCACGGCGCTGGTCGGGCCGGGGGGGACTCTTGACACTGCGTGCCTACCTTGTTCTTGAACCTTGCAAGAGGAAGAGGGAAGGAGATAAAAAAGAGAGAGAGAGAGAGATGGGGAAAAAAAGCGAAAGACACGAACAGAAAAAGCTAATACACATGATCGACAATCAACAACTTTCTAGGAATCGCAAGTCGTCATTCGCGTGTTACTCAACATACTGAAAAACGTTCCACTCGCGTATGGACGTACCCACTTCAGAGGGGGTCATGCCAGCGCGTTGTTGAACCCTGGCAGGGTAACACTACCAAGTCGGGCGGGTGGACAATAACGGATGGGTCGGCGGGTGAATCCTAACAGGTGGGACGGACTGGCCGGACATTACAGCGGGAGAGCTGGCTTCCGGGCAAGAGAACAGGCCGACCCTTCCGGGTAGTTCGAGCGGGCGGGACCTTGAAGCAGGCGGGTCGGGCGGCACCTTGAACGGACGGGCGGACCCTGACGGACGGACCCTAGCCGACAGGTCGGCCGGGCAGATCATAACCGGCGGGTCAGGCGGGCGGGACATTCAAGCGCGATTCCTGATCAACTCTTAGAGGGGCATCTGGCGAGAGCACGATTCCAAAGAGATGTGTAAGGAAGTCCTGGGCGAGAGTGCAATTCCAGAAGGGCGAGAGCGCGACACAGCGGACTGACCTCAAGGATATGAGACCCTTAGCCTTGACCGACAGCAGAGAACACAGTGGTAGACCCCTGGGCTAACGAGAAGCAAGTGGACCCCGCTGGGGCCACGACGGAGTGAGGAGCGAACAGCGAGGAGCAATGAGGAAGGAGGAATGCGACGGCATGAAGGTGGGGGGGAAAGGGGGGAGAAAGGAGGAGGGAATCCCACCAGCCCTTCAGGACGTGCGTGATTTAGGGAGTTTCTCCTTCCGTCCTCCTTCCCCTTCGGGAAGGGGGTTGCCCCTCCCCCAGCCCCGTACCCATGGGTCTGGAGGGGGGGGGGTCGCGACCCACTGGAGCGTCCAAGACAGCCTCGGCGGGAAGGCACACACCATCGGCTTGACTTAGGTTTCGGGCGAATGTTTGGTCTCCTGGGGGGGGAGCTCTAACTTACCAGCCCCCCTCCTTCGTGAATCGATCTCCTCCAAAATGGCCCCAAGATGGCCCCCAGGGCCCCCAAGGGTGCCCCAAGAGGGCCCCCAGGGGCGCCCAGGAGGTCCCAAGAGGCCCCCAGGAGGTCCCCGAGAGGCTCCCAAGAGGCTTCCCCGAGGCACCCAAGACGCTCCAAGAGGCCCCCAGGACCGCCAAGAGGCCCCCAAGACGCGCCAAGAGAACTCAAAGAGAACTCCTAGAAACTTTCAAGAGGCATCCGAAGAGACTCCGAGAGGCATCAAAGAGGCCTCTGGCCATTATGCTCGCCCCTCTCCTCCGCCTCCGCCTGTTCCTCCTCCTCCCTCCTCCCTGTTCCCCTTTCCCTCCCCTTCCCCCTCTTGCTCCTCTTCCTCCGTTCCTTCCTCATGAAAAGTTATTGGCGCTTCGCGCATCCCCACCAGCCCATCCGGAAACGATGCCCACGAAAGCTGACCGGGGGAGGGGGGAAGAGACACGCATAGTCGAAGGAGTTGCAGGGGCAGTGGGACACACAACTAAATACACACAAATAACAGAATTCCCCATATTGTTCCATGTGTTCTGGGTTTGTGTCTTCCCCCCACTTCCCATATTTGCCCATTTCTCCTGGGGATCGACGATTACTTGTGTCTGTGTGCATTGTTCCCCTCCTGATTCTTGGCGGCCGCTTCCGGGACGTTCCGTGGCCCTCTCGAGCCGTCTTGGAGCGGCCTTGGGGCCGGTTGGAGCATCCTGGGAGCCATCTTGAGCCAGCTTGGGCTATCTCAAGTCATCTTGGAGGTCACCTTGGGTTCTCCAAGGCCTCTCGCGGGCCTCTCGGATGCCTTTCGGGTGCCTCTTGGGGGGCCTCTTGGGGCCTATTGGGGTGTTCTTGGAGCCGTCTTGGGGGCCTCTTGGGAGCCCTGGGGGGCCTTTGGGGGCCATCTTGGAAGCGGTCGGTCAAAAGAGGGGGAATACTACATGTAGCTCCCCCCTTCCAGGGCCACGATCCTCGTGAGAGGTGTCGAAAATTGGTCCTCCCAGGGGACGAAAAAGGAGCCTCCGACACCTCGCGACCCCCCCAAAAAAACCTCAGGGAAGGGAGGGGGAGGGCTCCACTCTCCGAAGGGGTTGAAGAGGACAGAGACCCCCTCTTTAGATCACCTGTCGCCCAAAAGGCTGGTGGGATTCCTCCCTGTCGCACCCCGAGGCCAATCGAAGGGCGGGCCGGGCATTTCGCCTGAGACGTCCGCACTATGATCCTGAAGCTTAGAAGTCTGCAGCAACTTCACGGCTGTAAGGCGGGTCGCTTTCAGAATGTGGTTCTCGCCTTAGCGCCGCGCAGCGCACATCCGTCTTACCGACGACGAGTGGTTTTCAACATGCGGCTTTCTCTCTCTTTCTCTCTCTCTCTCTCTCTTTCTCTCTTTCTCTCTCCTTAGCGCCGCAAGCATCGGTCATATGACGTCCCACCAGCTCTTGGACGATAGGTGGTATAAGGAAGGTCGTATTATTCGTATTAATATGTCGATGTTACTTCTTAGCATTTGTCTGATTAGTATTGTTCTTCTTCTTATTCCACAGCCACTCTTCCCTTCGGGGAGGGGAACCCCCCCTCCCCCCCTGAATTGTTTTAGGGGGTCGCGACATGTGGGAAGCCCCTTTTTTCGGCACCTGCGAAGGCCAACTTCTGACACCCCTCGCGAAGATCGCGGCCCCAAAACGGGGGGAGCTACAGTTCATACCCCCTCTTCTTTGACCGACCGCCTCCAAGATGGCCCCAAGAGGCGCCCCAGGGTTCCCAAGAGGCCCCCAAGAGCGCCCCAACAGCGCCCCCAAGAGCCCCCAAGATGGCCCCAAGAGGCCCCCAAGATGGCCCCAAGAGCGCCCCAAGAGGCCCCATGAGGGCTCCAAGAGGCACCCGAGAGGCACCCAAGAGGCCCCCGAGCGGCCTTAGAGAGCCCACGATGACCTCCAAAATGGCTCAAGATAGCCCAAGTTGGCTCAAAGCGGCCCCCAAGATGCTCCAAGCGGCCCCAGGGCCGCTCCAAGACGGCCCGAAATGGCCACGGAGCCTCCCAAGCCTTCCTCGCTGCTGGACTCTGCGTGATTATTCCTCTCTCCCCCTGTCAACTATCGTGGGCATCGTCTCTGGATGGGCTTGTGGGGATACCCTTTTGTTCGCGAGCGACACAGAACAACTGCGCGCCGTCAAGAAACAAAGCAACAACGCAACAATCTAAATTACGGCCTAAGAGGGAGCAACGGCGACCGGGGCGCGCCACGCAGTGTGGAGTCCAGGACGTCCGCCAGGCTGAGGAGGACCAAGAAGGCCACGATATACACCAAAATGATGAGTGAATTCAGCGTCAGACCCAGGATGAAGAGTCAGACAGCCGCGGTGCAGAGGCTCGACATGCGCGCAGCGAAGAAGCAAGCGAAAGGCAAGACAGGGGTCGCCGCCAGCTGACACACGTCGCGAACGTCAGTGCGCGTCGCTGCCCGCCGCCACTCGCATGTCGCGAAGTACCCGTGCCGGGGGGCGCCCGCTAGCCTGGGCGAACTCGACGACGGAGTGGCCCTCAGCGAGCGTCGCGGCCCGCACTGGTCGACCGAGCCCGGGTGGAAGCGGGGGCAGGCGACCGCAGTGCCGGCGCAGGGGGGCCGGGCCAGCCTGGCAGCCAACACGACCACGCGCCGCTGGCTCTGGCCGGCGCCCCAGGGGGGGCGCCGCGAACCGGGGGGGGGCCAGCGGGAGCGTGGAGCGCCGGGGGGCGGTGGCCAGGCCACGCGGAGGGGTGGACCCGGGGGGCGGGGGCGCCAGGGGCCAGGCACTCCCCGCCCGGCGACGGGGCGAGGGCGCGGGGGCGGGCGGGGGAGCGAGGGCGAGGACGCAGCTGACAGCCGCAGTAACTGCGAAGTAACCGAAGGGAGCGGGGGGGACGGAGGAAGGGGAACGGACGGGGGGCGGGGGAAGGAAAGCAGCTAACAGCCGAAGGACCGGTGAAAAGTTAATGAGGGACGGGGGTCAGGGGGCGGGCGGGGTCGGGCGACAGGCGGCGGGGGCCACAACCAGCAGCAGGGACAGAGGGGCGCGGGGACGGGGGCAGGGGGGCGGGCGGGGAGCGGAGCGCGGGGGCGGGGGCAGGGGGGCGGGCGGGGGCAAGCGTGGGGATTCAGCGAACAGCCGCGGTCAAGGTGAAGCACCGTGGGGGGCGGGGACCAGGGGGCGGGCGGGGGGCGGAGCCGGGGGGGCAGGGGTGGCAGTCTGAAAGAGAGCGCGGCGGCTCCGCAAGGGCGGCGGGGATGGAGGGCCCGAGGCTGGCATGGCGCAGTGGCGGGTGCCAGCCGCCAGGGCAAGTGGTTTGCGGGGCGGCGAGGGGCCCCCAGTTGCCGGGGGGGCTTTGAGTGCCAAGCACCGTCCAGAGAGACGCTGCGCAGGAATGCACAAGGCTGCAAATGCCGCGGGGGCCCTGGCAGCACTGGAGGCCCGCAGGGGAGAGGGCCAGCCACCGGGTTCGCCCAAGGCGCGCCAGGGGGGAGCGGCTGTCATCCAGCGGGGGAGAGAGGCCGCAAAGTGAAGACCCGGAAGGAACTCATGAGTGCCCGCGACGAGCCAGCAGCCCCAGCTGGGCGCGACCAAGACGGCATAGGGCGCACCGCAGGGGTGGTGCGCTGGAACAGCCAACCAGGCGCGCCTGCGCGGCGGGGATTGGTGCTACCATGAGAGACACTGATGTACAGCGTGGGGCGCCGCTGGCCTGGGGCGCAGGCACGGCGCGCCTGCGCCCGCGAAGGCCTTGACAAGGTCTTAGGAGTACACCCAGGGCTGGCGCGAGCTCGCGGACCGCCAGGGTTCCCCCGTCCTCGTCCAGCTGGAGTCATTGCCTTCTCGGAAAGAATCCCTCGCCTTCGGCTATGCCCGGGGTGCCCTTGCAATTGATCCCGTCAGCGAACCGACTACGGACTGCAGACCAGTCGACGCCCAGGCGAAGCGCATCGCCCACCTTCACGGCGTGGCAGTCGTGACGGGTTCACTCTTTGAGGAAACGCAGGGATGATCCAGGCTCCTGCTTAGTGGGATCGGCACAAAATGTGGCCGGACCTGGAGGGGCGCTCGGTCGTCCACCGGTGCCATATCCCGTGGAAAGACTCCCCGAGGTCCCTCTGGAGCCTCTTCACGGTCTCGGCCGGAGTCTCGCCAGGGGGGGGGTGAGACTGATCCGCTCCAGAGGAGCTATGTACATGTAAAGGCCAGTGACTGAGTCAGTCAGGTTGCGCGAAGGGTCAGCATGTGCGCTCGCGTGGGAGGGCCACGGGCCGGACCGAAGTGTTGGGAGGTCATCAGGGACAGAGGGCGCGCGGGAACGCGCTGTCCGACTTCAGCGGTCGCCGGCCTCCCAGCTGGACCAGCCTGGCCATCCTGGTCAGTTGCCGCTGGAGGGGCCGCCGCGGCTGGCCTCGCGATGCCGACGTGGGCGGCGCCCACCCCAGCCCTCGCCCCAGTCGCACTCATCCCGCACCGCGCTGCCCGCCCGGGGCTGCCGGGGGACGCTGGGGGGTGGCGGGGCCCTGCGTTCAGGGAGGCGAGTGCGTTCTGTCATCTTGTCCTGCTAGCAATGGGAAGGCACTAGGATCGTCAGCAAGGGACGCGGGGCTGCAGGGCCCGACCGTCGCCTCGGGACTGCCGGAGGAGTCGACCTGCAGCTCCGGTGGTTCCGAGCTGGGGGTCGGGGACAGGGCAACCGGGGGCCCCGTTTTCAACCCCGGGGGGGCACGGGTCTGCCGTCTTGAGAGCTAGCCAACGCGGCGTCGGAAGCGGCGTCTCCGTGGGCAGCAGCGCCGCCGCCCATGCTGGCGAGGGGGAGGCCCGTTGCGCTGGCCTCACGCGGGGGGTGCGAACTCAATCGTGTCCGTTTCGTTTCCGTAAGTGCGAGACGAGTGTCATTTGCAGCTATCCGTAATCATGGTGGCTTAGGGGCCCCTTGAGCCGCCTTTTGGGCGGTCAGACACATTACTTGCTGGTTCCAGAGAGCCAGCCAGATTATCGAGATTGAAAATCAGAATATTCAGACAGAGAATTTTCCCTGGGACAGATTCGAGGGCTGGCTATCTGGAGTATACCCGGACTGCGTGCAGACCAACGCTTGCGGCGAGGAGAGATATACATCTTTGGCCTCGCGCGTGCTGAGGTAAAAGAGAGCTTGAGATCCACGGACCTAGAGAGAGTTGACGACATTGCATCAACACTTATTCAGAGACACCTATCGGTGAACCTGCATTGGTAGCGGAGCCGGTTGGCTCCAATACCTGGACAGCCGGCAAGATGGGAGACTCTCGCGATGACGGCAAGAAGGTTCCGACATGGGATGGAGACGTCACCAGGTTTCAAGAGTATCGCGAACGTGTGAAGTGGTATGTGGCTGGTCTTTCACATCGAGATAAGCAAGTGGCTGGAGCTCGACTGGCGGCAGCTCTCACTGGCGAAGCGTGGAAGGCGCTCGAGGAGGTCTCGGACGAGGGACGGGAGCTGCTGGAGAAGGCGGGCGGCCACAAGATATTGCTGGAGTTCCTGGACGAGACGCTCATGGACGAGCCGATCCCGGAGGCCGCGAAGTACCTGAAGGAGTACCTGTTCACGCTGCGACGGCGGAACAACGAGGGCATGAAGGCCTACGCTCAGAGAAGCAGGATCGTCGCAGACAAGCTGGACCAGAGCTTCAGGCGGATCGAGGAGAAGGACACGACGACCGAGATCAAGCTAGTAAGGAAGGCGCGGCCAGAGGAGAAGACAGAGTCCGTGACGCTGGAGTCCACTCGCGAACGAGAAGGCCCCGAAGGCGAAGATGAAGGCGCAGAGGACGAAGGCAGCTGGAAGGACGAGAACGACGGCTACTGGAAGGGTAGCTGGTGGTATGGCAGCAGCTGGTGGTCGAGTTCACCGACGGGGTCAGCTGGCTGGACCTGGCCACAGGCGACGACATCGCTGAAGGCACACAAGAAGGTGACGCTGAAGGAAAAGGCTACGGAGGCGCTGTGCTCGCTGATGGCACGTTTCGACCTGGAGGATGACGATACCGACATCAAGGCGCTGAAGGAGGTGGCGACAGAGGCGCGCGAGACGCTGATCCCGTCGGTGATGGCGGGCTGGCTGCTACTACAACGAGCCGGACTGAATGCTCAAGAGCGCGCGGGAGTCCTGTCGTCAGCCAAGAACTCGCTGAATCTGAAGAACATCGAGGCAGCGCTGCGGGACCAGTGGGCAGACGTGGACCTGAAGGAGCACGACGCGCACAACAAGAAGAGAGACATATTCCCGCACAAACCTGGCCGTGGACGAGCACTGGGAGTGTTTGGAGAAGATGAAGATGATCAAGAGGAGGCCCCAGACGACTACGACCCGGAAGACGACTACGAAGCCTACGCGGAGTTCGACTGGGACGAGGACGAACTCGACCTCGAAGTTCTGGACGAGGAGGAACGCGCGGAGGCAGAGGAGGCACTGGCGGTCATCGCCGGAGCCAAGAAGGACGTCAAGAACCAGAAGAGGACGCTGGCACAAGCGCGGGCCGTGGTGAAAGATATCAAGCAAAGCCGAGGGTTCTTTCAGAAGGGCAAGGGCAAGGGCAAGAAAGGCGGCAAGGGCCAAGGAGGGCCATGCTTCATCTGTAGCGGACCGCACAGGAAGGCCGACTGCCCGAAGAACCCGGAGAATCGAAACAAGGAGCAACCACGCGGACGAGCATCTCAGGTTGGAGCGTTGGCGTTCAGCTTCGCGAACTGGGAGGCCAACGACGACGAGCTCGAGGAGAACGACCTGGAGATGGCCTACACGGAGTTCGAGGTGGAGCACGCGCTGGCCAGTCTCGCGGACGAGACGGAGGGGTGCATGGTGCTCGACAGCGGAGCGACGAAGACGTTCGGGTCGATCGTGGCGCTCGAGAAGATCATCGAGAAGCAGCAGCAGGCAGGAATCGACACGAGCAACGTGAAGGTCGATGTGACAGATCGACCGAAGTTCGGGTTCGCTAACGGCGACGCGGAGCAGTGTTCGTGCCGGGCGAACCTCCCGCTGCAGGCGAACGGCAATCTAGGTAGCGTGTCGGGCTACGCGCTGAAAACCAAGGGGGACCGCTACGTGCCGTTGTTGGGGTCAGTGGATTTCTTGAAGCGTGCTGGAGCGATCATCGACTTCGAGACGGGGATCGCCTGCTTCAACAATATCACGAAGAACAAGGTGGCGAAGCTCAAGCGGATCTCGACGGGACATCTGTGCATCGACATGACGAAGGACCTCTACGAGGCGAAGGTGAACTACACTGACAAGGAGGACTTCAAGCAGAAGCTCGAGGATTTACAGCAGGCTCTCGGCACTGCGAGGGTCGCGGCGGCCGATCCAGCCGCGAACCCAGAATAGGGACAGCGCCCCTCCTTCTGCGGTGCTGGTTTCAGGAAAACAAAGCCAGCATCACGTCACTGGATTGGAGGACCTACCAGGACAGTGAGAGCAGAGGAGGGGACCGAGAGCAAGAGGGCACCGTTTGAGACTTCCGAGGATGTGAATTTCATTACAGAAACCACTGAGGATTTCGTGGGCACGGGTTTGGAAATAAGACCGACGAGTTCCGAGCGGGAACGGGTTTCGAGTACATGTGCGAGTCCGACACGAACGACAGCTCGATCAAGGACTGCGAGTACTTCGACCCGATTTCGGAGGTTTTCGGCGATCCAGACCACACCGACACGATCGAAGTACGTGACTACCGATACGTGTGAGACTTCTGTCAGGGGATCTCAAAGGCCTGAGAGTATCTCGAATGGGTTCGAGAAGACTCCAAAGCCCCCAGAGATGAAAGTAACTGATGTCCTACACGAGAAATGCAGAGTACCTCAGATAATCATGAATGATGGTGGCGGCGATGCTGATTGCGATCCGCAACGTGGTGGCTCAAAATCCAGGTTTCAGTGGATCAACGCCAAACGGGTCAAGGCCATCAGGGACGATGCCCGGGGCGGCAGCGGCGGATTCGACGCCCGCAGCCGACGTCCCGATCGACAGCAACAAGCACCGCAACATCAAGAAGGACCAAGGCCTCGACGGTGGTTCAGGACATCGGAGGGGCAGTGGAGACCGACAGCGACGACAGACCGATCCAGAGCGATGGGGCAAGCGGACCATCGGCGAATGGATGACACTGGATCGTCGGGACCTACGACTGGACTGGGACAGAGCGGAGGCTGCCAACGAGAAAGACGATCGCTACACGGGCAAGCCCTGCTACGGCGAGCACGACACGACACACCCGCTGGCGAGGCACGCCAACGGATACAAGGTGAGCTACAAGTGCGTGAGATGCGAGCTGGTCATGCTGTACATCCCGAAGCACGGGGCGACGGGCAGGTACAGGCAGAAGGGAGCTCTGGGACCGACCGTGGGAAAGATCAAGATCGAAGAAGTGACGAAGGAGAAGGTCACCAAGGAGAAGGCGACGTCGGAGAGAGAGAGCCGGACCAAGATCGAAGAGGTGTCTTCGGAGGACTCATTCGAGAAGGCCGGAGAATCAGAGGAGGAGGAGACGCCGTACCCGAGCACCGATCAGATGAGCAAGGCCGACATGATGTTCGACCAGATGCGCGACAGCACCAAGCGGAGGACGGACCCACCGACTCGCAGGAAGAAGAAGGAGTCTCCCCAGGCTGGGGAGCCTGTGGGTCCTTGAGAACCGACCTAGACGTCCCCTCAGGGGACGACGACGTCATCACGTTTGGGATCGACGTCGAGTACCACAAGGAGGAGATTAACCTGAAGGACTACAGCTGGGTGCTAGAGCAGGTGACAGAAGCTGGGATGGCGACAGACCTCTACGTGAAACAGCTGATCGAGTTCTGCACGGAGGAGGACAGCCAGCTCGGGAAGGTCGCGGAGGAATGCGAGGACGCCGAGATCATCAGGATCACGCGGAAGGACGCGGATCTCAGCACGAAACATGGACTGGAGTTGGCCAAGAACCTGGCGGTGAAAAACCCTGGAGCAGACATCTGGGGAAGCCTACCGTGCACAGCCGTCAGCGCGCTTCACAACGGTTACATCGACAGACAGGATGGTCAGTACTGGAAGAAGCTCGAAGCACGAAAGAAGAACCTCAAGAAGATTGTGAATCACTTCATGGAAGTAAGCAGGGTTGTCAAGGACAATGGTGGGGACGTGCACTTCGAGTGGCCACGTAACTGCCATGGCTGGAAGTTCTTCCCGGAGCTGATAGAGTTCTTTGGTGAGATTGGCATGGAGAAGGTGAACTTCGACGGGTGCCAGGTCGGGGTGGTCAACACTAAGGGCGAGCCGATATACAAACCGTGGACGCTGTGGACCAGCAGGAAGAAGCTCGCAACGGCCCTGAGTGGCAAACGCTGCCCAGATCCCCAAGGACACGGACATGCAGAATGCTGTGGGAAGGATGCTACACTATCGGGCAAATACCCCGCACGAATGGCAAGGATCATCTGGCGGAATATCGTGGAACCGCCGAAGCTGATGGGCATGATCGAGGAGCTGAGACAGGAGGAAGCCCTGGCGAACGACAACAAGGAGATGTTCGACCATGAGAGGGAGCTAAGAGTTGACAAGCGACGAGCAACAACAATGGAACGACCTGCCGGCGCTGAAGCAGAATGAGTTAATGAAAGCAGCGATGCGGCTGCATCGGAATACTGGACGTCGACCACAGAGGGTGATGATCAGGATCCTGCGAAGACGTGGGGCTTCAGCGACGACAATCGCAGCCGTGAAGCAGATCAAGTGCAGCTCGTGCATTGAGAATCAGAAACCAAGACCGAGACCAGCAGCGGTACTCGAGCCAGCTCGAGATCTATGGCAGGTGGTCGGCATCGACGTGAAGGAGATCGTAGGCAACGACCAGATCAAGCGGAAGTACCTTGTGATCGTGGACGAGGCGAGTAAGCTGACGCTGGCGGTCAAGATCTTCTCAATACCCGCTCAGGAGTCGAGGAACTGCACCGCCAAGGAGCTGCTGGATGCGTTCAGAGGACATTGGCCAGATCGGCATGGAATGCCAAGCGTACTGAGGCCCGATCCGGAAGGAGCATTCGTGTCACACGAGTTCTATGACAATATTGCAGGTGAAGGAGTGCAGGTGGATCCGTGTGCCACCCAGGCTCACTGGCAGAATGGCATCGCGGAGCGTGCAATCAAGACGGTGTTCGAGTGCGCCAAGGCCATGCAGCGTGATCATGAGACCGACCTGGAGGCAGCTGTACATGCGGCGGTGGAGGCACATAACACGGTCGAGAGAGTCGATGGATACAACCCAAGCCAATGGGCCTTCGGACGAGACAAGAACTGGTCAGGGACTCTCAAGAAGGAGGATCACCTGGACGTCGTGAAGTGCACGAACCAGAGCTACATGGAGAACCTGTCCAAGCGGGTGCTGGCATCAAAGATCATTGGCGAGCGGATTCTCAAGCAGCAGCAGACGAGAGCAGCAGCAGCACGAGATCAACAACCACAACACCTGTATCCTGGGATGCTGGTATGTGTATGGAGATGTGGTAAGCAGGCTAAACAACCAGCACCAGCAGGACCACGACATCATGGGATTGACAAGGGCAGATGGTTTGGACCAGGCACCATCCTCGGGGTGCAGACGACCAAGACAAGCGACGGGACGCTCGTTCAATCCAGAAAGGTATGGGTCGTGATGGGGTCGAGGCTGTGGAGGTGTGCACCCGAACAACTACGAGCGGCAAGTCCAAGAGAAGAAGAGATGTTCTTCGAGGAAAAGCACACACCCTGGACATTCGTGGAAGGACTGGAGAGTCTCAACAAGGGGGATGTGATTTCCGTGGACAAAGAGGACGCGCCGATGAATGAGGAGACCTACACACCGGAGACCACAGCTCGTGCACCAGAAGACGGAGACAAGGAGGACCACTGGGAAGAAGGTGAGTTCGAAGGACGACCTGCACACATCAGAGTACATTTACGACCGAGAGTGGCGCTGTTTACGCCAAGAGGCTTCAGAGCCAAACCGGAAAAGACGACCATGGAAAGGATCACCGTGATCAGGTATGAGGACGGATCCGAGGAGACGGTCAAGGACGACAACTGGAACGTGCACGGGAAGTCTACGAGGTCAATGGGACGACGCTGGACTGGCAGGACCTACCTGTTTCCGATCACGGACAAGCCAGAGGAGATGAAGGTAGATCAGAACGCCAAGGAGGTGATCCATGAGCAGGCGAAGAAGATGGTCGTGGAGCAGGTACCGGAGACCCATGGGGACGATGGGAAAGACCAGCCGTCAATGGATGACATCGAGAGCGAGAAAGTAAAGAACACGAAACAGACAACTGCAGGAGGAGCAGATCTCAAAAGACGGATCGTCGAGAAGAGAAAAGTCAAGACCGACCTGTTCGAAAAGACGAAGAGGAGGGTCAGGATCCGGACCAGCACTGAGGAGCTACAGTGCCTTCTTCAATGACAAGATCGCGGACGGTGACCAGATGGACTGGGACAAGCTCGACTGGGAGAACTTCGACGTGGCGGCATGGGCTGCTACGGAGATCCAGGAGGACCTGGAGATCCCGACGGGGATCGACTACATCGAGGTAGCGTTCGAGGCGTTCGACGCGAACAGCATGAACAAGTTCACGAGGCAGCCGGAGCAGTACATCACCAAGGCGATGAAGAAAGGAAGGTCTGAGGCAAGTGTCAAGCACATGACCGACGAGCAGAAGAGTCTGATGAAGGGGGCGAAGCTGATCGAGGTGAGAGACTGGATCGCCAACGACGTGCTGGAGAGGCTACCGCCACACATCAAGCCGAAGTCGTCGGACGTCCTGAAGACGCGCTGGGTACTCACCTGGAAGAAGGACGAAGCGACAGGAGGCAGCCGAGCAAAGGCGAGACTGGTAGTGCTGGGATATCAAGATCCTCGGCTAGGAGAAGAACCAGTGGCATCGCCGACCATGACCAGGAGAGCTCGGAACATGATCTTCCAGCTTACGGCCATGAAGAAGTGGAAGCTGAAGAAGGGGGGCGTCAAGGCCGCTTTCCTGCAAGGAAAAGGGATACCAGACGACAAGCCGACCTACATCGAGGCCAACGATGAGCTGGCGGAGGAGTTCGGAGTACCTGGAGGGACAGCGGTGAGACTAAAGAAGGCAGTGTACGGATTATGTCAAGCACAAAGTCGTGGTACGAGAGCGTGGACACCCTGATGGAGCAGCTCGGTGGGCAACGATGCGTGTCGGACCCGTGCGTCTGGGTTTTCAGCGACGGGAACAACAACGTGTTCGGGGTAGTTGGCACCCACGTGGACGACTTCCTGATCGCCGGAGATGGTGGAGTTCGATGGCGAGAGATCGAGGTGAAGCTGCAGAAGGCGTTCCGCTGGACTCCATGGGAGGAAGGAAGCTTCAAGCAGACCGGACTGTCGGTCATGCAGACGGCCAGCAGCGAGATCACCATACACCAGAAGGAGTTCATCGACAACATCACCGAGATCAATATCGGACAGGAGCGTCGCAAACAACGGGACCAGAAGCTGACGGATAAGGAGATGACGATGCCTCGGGGGGCACCGGGCGAGATCCAGTGGGTGGCGACGCAGGCGATGCCGAAATATCAGGCGCAGTGCTCAATATATCAGAGCAGTGGACCGACGGCGACCGTGGAGGCGCTCTTCGGGATCAACAAGCTGATCAGACAGATGAAGAACGATCACGGCTATAAGCTGAAGTTCGAGAGCTTCGAGGGAGAAGGAGTGGTCGTAGGCTTGAGTGATGCAGCCTGGGCGAATCGACAAGACGGGCTCTCGACAGGAGGATATGTGATCGGGATCGCGCCAGCGGATATTCTGAACGGCAAGCGGGCCCCAGTTGGCTGGGTTTCGCATCGCAGTGGCAAGCTACAGCGCGTGGCCAGGAGTTCGTTGGCGGCCGAGGTTCAGGCACTGACAGTGACAGAGGACGAGCTTTTCATGGTAAGAATGATGTGGGGCCGAGCTGAACGGTTTTGTTTCGGACGTGGCCGTGGGAACCGCGAGCGAGAGCAAGACGGCAAAGCCGATGCTGGAGGGCGTGAAGCAGGTACGATCGTGCCTGTGCGTGGACGCTGTGCGTGGACGCTAAGAGCATCTACGACTGTCTGGCCAAGCAGGTGCAGATGCAGAGCCTGGCCGAGAAGCGGACGGCGCTCGAGCTGATGGCCTTCGAGAAGTGCATCAACGAGACAGAGTTGATTGTGCGGTGGTGCCACTCCGAGGCCAACCTGGCCGACAGCTTGACAAAGACGACAGCTACAGGGCCCATCGATCTGCACATGAAGACGCGGAGCTGGGCACTGGTAGACGACGACGAGCAGCTCAGTGCCAAGAAGCGCAAGGAGCGCGGGATGAGCAGGTTCGAGAACAACAAGGATATCTCTGGCCTCATCAAGAAGGCATGCATGAAAGTGGGAGTGTCGTTACCAGATGCAGCAGATGGTGATGACAATGATGACGATAACATGATAGTGAGTGAGCCTACATCCTATGGCTGACGCCGCTGTGCTGCAGTTGCCTGTCCTGTTGCCTGTCTTATGGCCTGTTCTACTGCGTGTTTTATTTTCTGAGACGCACCAGAATGGGCGCGGACGTTTCGAGGCTCCAAGCCGTTTCCATGCAGTAGCTGCAACAAAGATTTCTGGGGATGCGAACTCAATCGTGTCCGTTTCGTTTCCGTAAGTGCGAGACGAGTGTCATTTGCAGCAATCCGTAATCATGGTGGCTTAGGGGCCCCTTGAGCCGCCTTTTGGGCGGTCAGACACATTACTTGCTGGTTCCAGAGAGCCAGCCAGATTATCGAGATTGAAAATCATAATATTCAGACAGAGAGTTTTCCCTGGGACAGATTCGAGGGCTGGCTATCTGGAGTATACCCGGACTGCGTGCAGACCAACGCTTGCGGCGAGGAGGGATATACATCGTTGGCCTCGCGCGTGCTGAGGTAAAAGAGAGCTTAAGATCCACGGACCTAGAGAGAGTTGACGACATTGCCTCAACATTTATTCAGAGACACCTATCGGTGAACCCGCAGGGGGGGCGTGCCCGGGGCCGTTGCACCAGTGCCGGGGTCGTCGGCGGTTGGGCTCGCCCGCCGTGAGTGGCCGTCCGCTGGGGAACGGGAAGTGGCCCTACGTGCGAGGAGAGGGCTGGTTCCACTCCACGCGGGCGTCGAGGGGGGGGCACGGCGTCGCCCCAGTCAGGTTAATCGAACGTGTGGGCGGCAAAGGTGCGGAACTCAGCAGGTGGGTCGGCGTTCCCCCTCCGGTCGTCGTTGAACTGCGCCCACCAATCGTTGTCGCTGCGCCCCCTGGCAGGGGCGTTGTCGAGCTGCCTGCATAGCTCCTGCGCGTCCTCGAAGGGGGTGTCCTTGGCCAGATCGCGAAAGGACCCAGAGGCGAGTCTGTCGGAGCTGAGCTGCGCCAGGAACCCCACAAGAGCATCCAGCGCGCGGCGGAGTGGGGATGGGCCGCACACGGACCGTCGAGTGGCATGCTGGAGCAAATTAGGACGCATTGTGCTGTCGGACGAGTAAGCGCAGAAGCGTGCGACCACGCGGGCGGCGGCGAGTCGCTCACCTTGCCAGCGAAACTAATTGGGAAGGCGATTGGGCGCAACTCTGTTGCCGCAGACCCCCTTCAGGAAGGGGCGTAGCAAGGGCGGGCCCCAGCTGTCAGGGGTCTCGGAGCCCTTGACGTCCCTGACCAGCTATGCGACCACAATTGGGCCCTGGTCGCGCAGGAAGTCAATCAACCTGACCTCGATGGGCTTGACGCTCGGGCGGCTCTGCTCATCCTCCGCGGCGGCCTCCAGGTCGATGACAATGCACGCAAGCGCGGGGCCCCTGGGGGGGTCGATGCGGGGGAGGAGGTCGCGCATCTCCACGGACCAGCGCACTGCGGGAGGTCTCCCGCAGTGGTCCCGGGGGGAACAGCCGATGGTACCACCGTTCTTGCTGCACGGCACGGGTTTCGTGGCAGAGGCGCGGCCGGGTGCCAGCTCGTTGGCTAGCGACGGCTCGTCGGGCACTGGAGGGGCGGAGCGCGGCTTCGAAGTTGGGGAGCAGGGGTAAATCAAGTGGGTGTCGCGGTCGCGGAGACCGTCAACGACTCTGGGCTTGACGTCCCATGCGTGGACGAGGCATCGGCGACACATCCCCGCGGCGTTCCAGTTGCGGTTGTTCCAGGCCACGGCCTGGCCCTCCCACGCAGGGAGACCGCCGGCGCCTGCGCGCCACGACTCCATGTCAGCCCCCCACACGAAGCAGCCCAGCGCGGGGCGCACCGGCCTGCCAGAAGAGAGGAGGGGTCCCGGGTGGGCACCCGTCGCACGCGGCGGTGTGGCGATTGGAATCAGCTGCTGATTAACCGAACCTGTCGTCCTTTAGCCAGGTGGGCGGTCGGGTGGTGTTGGCGCTCCTTGGCGCCTGAAGGCCCGTGGGCACCAGCAGGTAGTCCTCGATGGCGCCAGGGGCCACTGTGGGGGGGGCAGCGCCAAGTGCGTGCGCTGGGAAGCGGCCAGAGCTAAGGCGTCCACTGGAGGGGGCCTGGGGGGGTCCTGACCAGCGAAAGGGCTTGCACCTGCTCGTGGAGGGGTTCTTCTGGGGAACTTGATGGCCCTGCTTCGCAACCTCTTCCGCCCAGCATTGGCCGCACAACCATGTGCAGTCGAATCCATTGGCATGCGCCTGCTAGCGATTCTGAGCCAAGTACGAGCGGATGGTGTCGTTGAGCCAAGTGCCCTCGGTGTGCCTGAGTTGTAGCAGCGGTCGCACTTGTACCTGGCCGTCTTTCTGTCGGCGCAAAATCGGGCGTCGCCAGGGCCAGGTAGCAGGGGGTCTTGGTCACGCTAGGGAGTGGAGCGGGCGGCAGCGCCCTGCCCAGGGGGATCTGCCCCAACGAGAAGCCTCCACTGAGGAAAATCAGCTTCAAGGGGCCGACATCGGGGCCTAAGCTTCTGTCATGGCCTGCGAGATCCCGGTGTAGGACGCAGATGCTGCATTCCGACCGCGGAAGAATGCCGATGTTGGCAGGCCTCACGATCTTCTCCAAGACCATCTCCTCAGCTTGAAGGGAAACTTCTCCATCTCGGCATAGGTAGTGGGGCAGTGCGCCTGCTTAGCGGTGGAACGGCGGTGGGCGGGGACCACGAGCTCGCTCACAATGGCCATCAGACCCTCGAGCCTGCCGTGAAGACGGCGGATGTCAGTGGGCGCGAGACCCCAGGAAGCCGCGAATTGGAGCAGAAGTGTTGGTGGTCGTTTTGCGAGGGGCAGCTGACTCCCAGGACGGCCTCGAGGGGGTCTCCAGACCCGGAGGGGTCAGGAAAGGGCCAGAGGCGTGCCCGTGGCTCGCGCTTCCTAAGCAGCATAATGGTGAGGGCGCAGCGGGCCCCCTCGGTGGACATAATGTGGTCGTCGGGGTCGAGCAAGTCGAGTCGGTGCTGTGCCGTTCCCTCGTGGCCCTGCAGAAGACTGGCCAGGGTGTCAAAGCCAGGGTAAACAAGGTGGCGCGGGCAGGTCCTGGTCCCAAAGGGCCATGCTTGGGGCACTTGGCGCTGGACGTTGGAGGAGGTGCAACGGCCTTTGTTCTGGGGTCGCCGGGCGATTCGTCCCTGGACCTGTGGCCGTGGGGGAGGTTCGTCGAGGAAAATCTGGCACCGGGGGGTGTCCCAGGGGGGGCCCAGGCCAACGGACCAGACCAGGGTGGCCCACGTCATGTCGAATGCCAGGTTGCCAGCGTCGAGCCCAAGCCCCACGTCATACAGGTACCCCAAGTGGCTCCAGGCTTGCCTGTCAGCCCCAAGACGGCCCCAAGAGCGCCCAAGAGCGCTCCAAGAGCGCCCCAAGAGGAGCCCAAGAGGCGGCACTGGGGGCTCCCAAGGGGCGACGCTAATTGCGGCCCTCCCCTTCTTTGGTCGATGTCCTCCAAGATGGCCCCAAGAGCGACCCGAAAGCTACCAAGAGCGCCCCAAAAGGGCCCCAAGAGGCGCCCAGACGGCCCCAAGAGGCCTCCAAGAGGCTTCCAAGAGACCCCGAAGAGGCCTGAAATGGACCCCCGAAGAACCTAAGACGCCAAAGACGGCCCTGGGCCCGCCAAGATACTCCCCAGACGCTCCAATAAGCTTCCGAGAGACATCCGAGGAGACTCCGAGAGGCATTCAAAAGGCGTGTGGCACTTTTGCTCGCCCCTTTCCTCCTACGCCTGCTCCTCCTCATCCTCATCCGCTTACTATTCCTCCTCCTCCTTCCTCCTCACCCTCCCTCACCTCCTCCTCCTCCTCGTCCATCTCCACGTCTTCCTCCTCCTGCCCCCTCCTCGCCCTCATCCTCCTCCTTCTCCTCCTCCTCCTCCTTCTCCTCCTCCGATTCCTCATCCTTCTTCCGCCTCATAAGGCACGACGGTTTCTCCAACCTTTTGTTCCTCTGTATGCTCCCCCGCTTCCCGCTTCCCGGATCACCCCAACTCTCCTGGGCATCGTTTCTGCATTGGCTGGTGGCTACACGCGAAGCGTGGACCCCCAAAAGTCTGGACAACTTCCCGAAGAGCGGCTTTTGATTCCGAGTCGGTCTTTGACGATCTCGGGGACGGCCGATCCATCTTGTCCGGAGCCTCGGATCTGGGGGCATCCAGCACGATGACGACAGGGGAGGAGGAGCCGGGAGGCAGGAGGGCGGCAGGCGGACAAAGAGGGCGAGCGGCCGCGCGCGGCAGAGGGGCGCCACCGGCTCGGGACGGGGCAGTGGTGGAGGCCGCTTTCCTGCCCGGGGGGCGGCGCTGATATCTGGAACGGGCCTCCTGCTCCCAGTTCTCCTACCCCTACTAACTACCACTATTACTGCTGGTGCTACACAGCTACTGCTGAGGCTACTGCTACTGATACTGCGACTGGTTCTGCTACTGCTACTGCTACCGCTAGTGCTTCTGCTGCTGCTAGTGCTTCTGCTGCTGCTACTGCTACTGCTAGTGCTACTCCTAGTGCGACTACGACTACGACTACGACTACTACTACTACTACTACTACTACTACTACTACTACTACTACTACTACTACTACTACGACTACTACTACTACTACTACTACTACTACTACTACTACTACTACTACTACTACTACGACTACTACGACTACTACTACTACTATACTACTACTACTACTACTACTACTACTACTACTACTACTCTACTACTACTACGACTACTACTACTACTACTACACTACTACTACTTACTACTACTACTACTACTACTATTACAAATTAATAATAATAAATAATACGACTACGACCTACGCTAACTAACTAACGACTACTACTACTACTAGACTACTAACTACTACTACTACTACACTACGACGAACGACGACGACGACGACGACGACGACGACTACGACTACTACTAATACTGACTACTATACTACTACTACGACTACTACTACTATAC